TCTGCTCAAACACTGAGGTTAGTTGCAACAGCTAGTTTCTACTTTTCCTTCAGCTGCTACATTTTGCTTAATTACCTTTTTCTCTAGAACGGCAGAAATGAGTGAAATGTCATCTACACTCTGCAGAACCCAGGTTATACTTGCTGTGCAGAAAGATCGTTCTCTGGTTATCGACTCGAATGAAAGAACAGCAGCAAATCGTCACCTGAGACGAGCTGCATCCAAAAAAAGGACGTTTGCTGTTTTTTAGTTTCAAGGTTTAAACAAACGAGTTGTTCTAAACTTTAGAAACTGTTTCACCGACTTTTATCCATAATTTAGACGTTTCTCTAATAACATTTTGACTTGAGCAGAGCACTTTCATTTACTTAAATTAACAGATTCTCCAACTCCTCTAATATAACCCATACTATATATTCATCAGAAACATGGCATTGTGCTATACCATTTGTGTAACAGCTGCAGGTTTTAAAGACAGACGTTACAGGATATCAAACATGATATTTGTATGAAACCAAATCATTTCCATGTTCTGTGTCTGAACACTTCCTTTTCCCAGCATCAGTGAAAACAAGTTTATGACATGACACAGGCTGTACTGACAGTTTATTCCCTTCACATTCTCATCAACACATTTCAGTAATCGCTCACAAGTAGTGTCCATGCACCCGAGCACGAGCTCACGCTAGCACAGCTCAAACTCTGCACATGTTTGTGGAAATGTACCAACTGGGAACCAGTCTGAACACAAATGGACAAAGTCACAACATTTACGGTACAGTTTAGACTCACTCGCTCAGGAATCACCCTTTCCGGAGTTTCTCTTCCGAACACTCGGGAACCTGACTGCTGGGTGGAAAATGAAACAAACTGTATCAAAGATTTCTCCAGGATGTGTCTGAGAGCAACGAGGTAACCTCCCTGTGATGGACACCCTCAGCAAACAGGATAAATACTGCAAAGGTCAAACTGTCCAAGCCTCCGATCACACATACTGTTACAAAAGAC